AGCCTTCGGGGAGACTAGGTGATAGCCTTGTCTAGGAACCGAGAAGCCCCCACTTCTATAAGTGGTGGGTAGTTCACGGAAACACATAACAATTAACATAGCAAAATAGAATCAATCAAAAAATAATATGACAATAACAAGAAATATAACTTGAAAGGAATTTGAAGACTGATTAGGGGATGAAAAATATCCTGATCGTCGAAAAGGAGTAAGCAAAGAAGATTGAAAAAACTTATTGGAAAGTTTGAAAAAATATGAAGAATATCAAGAACTCAAAGGTGCTTTAGAAATTTTAACGGAATGACGAGGAGAATATGTTTATCGAGTTCATTCTTCATATGTTGAGGCTCTTGAAGAATGATTAAAAGAGGAAAAAATTATTGCTAATAATGAGAGTATAATTGAGGAAAAAGATTGAACAAATATACATGAGGATTTTGAGGATAAATTTGAATCTTCTAATGGCACAGGTAGTAATATTGGTATCCTAAATAAACAAGCCTGAAAACAACAATGTTTTAACTACGAGCAAGCCAAAGCCTGAATCGAAGCAGGATTAACTCCCAAACAATCAAATCTGGCTGCCTATTTGCGTTGAAAAGCAATTGATCCGCGACCAGGTTTAGATTTTAAACAATTAGAAAATGAGCAAATTTATTGAACACGAGGAATCCTGGATCCAGTAAATGTCCAAGATTATTTGAATTATAAGTATCCTCCCATAACCAGAGAATGAGTGATAAAAATAAATTTTAGGAATACAAATTTGACAGGGCATTTGGACTTATCGGAATTCAAACGGCTAGAAGGGTTTAAATTGAGTTTTAGCAAACTAGAATCTTTGGATATTAGTAATAATTATAAACTAGTTAGTTTAAAAATTTCAACTTTGCTGCCCACTGAAGACAAAATTAAAGGCTTGGAAGAAACTTCTCTGATTAGGTTCTGTTCTGATTTTGATGCATGGACGCGCACTCCCGAGGATATTTGAAATGAATTGGTAAAACAACAACAAACCATTTTTCCAGAAATGGAATTGATCGATATCACTGACCTCGATAAATTAGTTGACGAAATTCCATCGACTTGTGCAAGTTATGAGGAAAAAATAAATTTTTTTCAAAAATTTTGATTTGGTCGAGTTGATAAAAGATGTTACGAGGGGAGTTATATAATGAATAATAATGAATTATATCGTTATTTTGCTCTTAAAAAATTAGTCAAGTACGTTATTGCACGTTGCGTAACTGTTAGAAAGTTTTTACATGAAGGGAAAAAACATGAAGTTTGTGAAAGGGGTTGAACTGAATGAGCGAACGGAAAAAGCATTCACCATCCTTTTCTACCTTCCAAACCATACAAAAAAAACAAAGAATTAACCCAAAAAGCCCTCAATGGAGATATGCAATTATTAAGTACACTACAAGATTTCCCCTACTTAAAATCTGAATTTAATTTTAGCAAAAATCCTTTGTTTACTAAAACACTTGTTGAAATAAAAAATCTTGAAGATGAAGTCCAAATGGAAAGAGAAGAAGCTGAAAAAGCCCTCCAAAAAGCCCAAGAATGAAGGGAAAGACAATTAAAGCAAAAAGATGATGAGATTGAAAGACTAAAAAAAGAGAATGACTATTTAAAACAACGATTAGAACAGCAAGCCCAAGTTGAAATGAGACAAAAGTAAAAAAACATCACTCTTGCAGTTAATTTTAAAGGATTTTGCACAAAGCAGCGATAGCAAAATCATAATATATGACACAACTTCAATAAAATAGATATTAACTATTTTATTAAGAAAGAAAAAAAGAGAATTAAAATAGGAACAAAAAAATAAGCCTAAAGAAGGGTTGGAATTAAAACGATAATTCTGTTGTTTGATTTTATATCATAAGAATAAAGGATGAATTGAAAATAGAATTAACTAAAATATAAGAAAACGAAATTTTGTAATAATATGGTAACAACACAAAGTAATAATAATCAAGAAAATTGGAAAGATATACATGAGGATTTTGCAGAAAAAATTATTGATGATAACATTGGACAAAAAATAACTCTTCAGCAACTATGAGAAAGATGGGGCTTTACTTTTGCAGAAATGAAACAATTAGTAGACAGCGGTTTGCATCCCGAAGAAGTCTGTTTTGGCATCTGACTAAAAGACCAAATAAATGAAATACGATCTAAACCGTCATTAAATGCGAAAGAACTAAGAAAAGAATATCAGCAAGTTTGAGCCAATATTCATTCTGGTTTTACCGAAAAAAACAGACGGTATGAAAAAACCTACCAAGAAATTTGGGAAAATTGAAACTTAACTTATAAAAGTGCTCAAAAATGAATTAGTGCAGGATTTACGCCAACAGAGTATGAAAAAATTAATAAATGAGGGTACTACAAATTTACTTCTCAAGAAGTTAAATCATGAATAGATACTGGTTTCGATAAATCGGATGACCCCGAATTTGCTGCTTATTTAAGAGGCAAAGGTCATCGGCCTAGTTCAGGTTTAAATTTAGAGCAATTGAGAACAGAATACGAAAATTGAAGCAAATCAAAAAAACCTGCCCAAAAATTCCTTGACATTATTTATCCTAAAGATCAAAGAAAAGCGGTAAAAAAATTAGACATTGCTTTTAAACAACTCACCGGTGGGTTAGATTTATCTGATTTTGTTAATTTAAAAATATTAAATTGTTCAGGTAATTCTTCTCTAGATTATCTAAATATAACCAATTGCCATTGTTTAGTTAAAGTTTGATGCTGACAAAATAGTTTAACTAATTTCACTTTACCCGAGGATTGTAGTAATTTAAAAATATTAAATTTATCAAATCAATTAGGCGAAAATTATTTTCGCCAAGACTTATCTTTTCTGAAAGGAGCAGTTAATTTAGAACGACTTGATTTATCTAACAATGAATTTTTTGGTTCTTTAATATACTTAAAGGAAATGGATAAATTAAAAATCCTTGATATTGACAAAACTAATATTGATGACGGGTTGGAGTACTTACCCGACAGTATTACATCCTTTCGTTGCTCTGTAGTTTTTAATCATCCTTGAGAAGAGAAAAAAAGAGTGTCAAATATTGAACAAATTTTAAAAAGTTATGGCAAACGAGAAGATAATTATTATGAATTTGTTGACATGCTAAAACTTTGAAAAAAAGATAATCACGCTTTAGTAATTGCTGCGTTTAAAAAAGAACTTAAAAAATCTGATCAACGAGTTGCCGAACTAAAACAAAAAAACATCAAATTAAAAGAAGAATTACAAATAGAAAGAGAAGAATT